CTGTCTTTCTTCACTGATCCTTCCTCCCAGCTGAGTGAAGGAGAGTCCTGAAAAAAATCTGCTCAGATGACTTTGGGCAAATTACTTGGTGTTGCTGTTTTGTTTCCTTCACATGTCAGATGAAACCACTAACCATCTGTGAAAAGTACTGAAATGGCTGGGTAATCACATTGGAGAGTTAATTCTGTTTATGTTTTGGTTTGGTTCCTGACTTGGTGCGTTTGCTTCCCCTTTTTGCTTTCAAGTTAATAAAGTTTCCTGTCCTCATCTGAAGATGCATCCTATGTAAAAAGGAACTTCTACGTATTTTAGAGGGACTGGTAAGATACTATAAGGAAGCAATATGTTCAAGTTAATTTGTTTAGCTGGTAATACACTTGAGCTGTCTTTTTTTACCCTGAAGTGGAAACGGGGACTTGTTTCATGAAATGTATCAGTTGTGCTGAGGATTGCTTACATTATGCTTCCAGAATGATTTTGAAACACCTGTATTAAGGTTTTTAAGTCTTTAGTTGCTGCTCTGGTGAGTTAGCGCATTTTTTTAGATATATATATTTATATACACACCACACACACGTAATGCCTGCAGAACAAATTGCAAAATTTAAAACAGAGCTTTACTTTAAATTATTCTTTTTGCTGAAACAAGTTTCTTGGAAGCATTAAAAAAAACCAAACCCAAACCTTCTCGAACTGACCCAACCTGTAGGTGCAGATTAAATTGCACAAGAAAACTGTGCTTAAGATATAAGGCATGTAAAAGATTTCTGAAATGCAGTTTCAATGCCTTTAAATAACAGACCTATTGAAGTTCTGTAGGCAAAAAAAGAAATTAACTTTCAAATACACCCATATGTGTTTATGATTACAGGATATGCTGTATCTTTATTTTACCACTACAGGTAAGCTATGTATGTTATGAGCTGTACAGAAAATGGTAATTAAATACATCAGCCAATTACTCTGTCATAGCAATAGTTAATCATTACATGTTTTAGAAGAGACCAGGCAACAGGAAAGGAAACATTAAGGTTGTTCTCCTTTGGGCATCCCAGAGTTGTTTGAACCTAGCAAAATCAAGCAGAAGAAATCAAATGAAATTTTCCTAAACTTGTAAAATTACATAAGAGTTGGGGGTTTTTTGTTTTGTGGGTTTTTTGTGGGGTTGGGAGGGGGGATTATTAATTATTAATTTAAATAAAAACAACAAAACAAAACCAAAATATAATAATCCTATTTTTACTATAAAGATTAAAATAAATTAAATTCCATCCAAAATACTTAAATGGAAAAGTAAGGTAGGGATTTTCTTTGCAAATTGACAAGAATTACTTTGCTATGGCAGCCTTGCTGATGGAAGAGATTTGGCTCCTGCTTTGATCAATTGTATCTCCTTTTGATACTTTATATGAAAGACTGTTCTCAGATCATACTAACAAGTGATGGCATAATACAATATCACAAAAAACATTGTAATGAGACCCTTCTGCAAGTGACTCGCCATTAAGGAATGATATTTGTATTTCCACGTCAGTTCTGCAGAATAACATAGAGAAAGAGCAGATAGACGGGAAAGACCTTTAAAATAGGGAATCTTGTCCCAACCTCAATCACAAATAAAATGTTTTGACTATTTTCCAAGCCAGCACTAAAGTGGTTTATAATTAGTATCTTGGTGAAAGTTCACTTGACATGTTGCTGGGAGATACTGACCAGCAGATTTAGGAATAGTTGTTTGAAAGTTTTCAGAGCTTCATGAAGAACACCTTATTTATAAAGCACTTACCCAGGTTTTACTCTTGAATTCTTTATGGATGAGACAGCCTAGGTGTATTCCTTTAACGTTTATGCCATGCAGCTCTGTAGGGCAGCCCACAGCTGAATCTATTCTTAAACAAATATTTTTGCCTTGCAATCTTGAAATAGCATGAAGAAAAACCCTTTTACTTTTCTGGGAGGGATTTCAGTGTCGGTATTTCTGTTATGTGTAAGTGTATGTAAGCACTAGAGGGTTTTTTTAGTTAGTTATTTAATGGAAAGTGTTTATCATCATGGTGCTGTGTATGGAGGAGAATGCCTTGGAGTTTTGCATAGGAGTGGGTGAGTCACCAGCAGCGGAGGGATGTGCCTGAGGTCAGAGGAAGTTCTGTGTAGAGCAGTGTGTTTGAGTTGTGTTGCCGAAGTTCAGTGCTGCCACTGAACCTGCACTGTAGCTCGTACTCTGTATGTCACTTCAGGACTTCAACAAGATTTAATATATTTAATATTAAGGTGATCGTTCCACTGTAATGCAGACCTTGTTGCACAGCAGCTAGTGATAGTTTCGTATTGGTGCTTGTAGCCATAACCATTTTCACAGCAGTCATTAATAACCACTTTTTTGGCAAGGATAGTATGTCTTGTCACTTACTAAGATGTACCTTTTCCTCCTCTGCCACTCTAGTTCTACTTTTGTCCTTTCATTTATTTATTTAGATGTTTCATTTTCCTCTCTCGATTGCTGCTGAAACTTCAGGTCTCTTATGCTACAGTTTTATCTGTAAATGACTGATGTTCTTACTAAATAAGCATATCAAAGAAGAGACTCATTTTGTTGGAAGGGATGTTTCTGCTTCCCCAGCATGCTTTGACAAGCCCAAAGTCAGAGAAGCCTCTCAAGAAATGGTTAAAAATAATAATGGACTTTCTACTTCACAATTTTTGCTTCCCACCCCCTCTTTTTGTATAATTTTTTTGAATTCTCAGTCCAATTATACCAAGCTTTGCCCTTGGTCACTGTGGCTTGCAGAACATCTTACCATCAAAGTTGTTAAGGATGTAACTTTGATCTCAAGTTAATACTTGCAGACATCCTGCAGACAACTGTCTCCTATCCTAAATGGCATTTCACTTGGAAAGCTTCTGACTGTGTTTATGAAGTTCATTTTTTAGTGAGGTGCACAGTATTTGGAAAAAGTGAGTGATGTTTAAATAAAATTATTTGTTTACAGGAAACAACTAGTGGTGAAATTTGAGCTAATACTGTAGGTAACACTGCATAAAATCGCATGGAAGTATGAATTGGCAAATTTGATAATGGAAGGGTAAAAATAAAAACGGAGGCAGACACTTTGTGTATAATAACACTTTTTATAGGAAAAGTTTGATTTCTACTTGTACTAGTCATCCAAATAGTTGCCACAGAATGACCATCTTTGCAATTAGCTGGTTTGAATGTCATGTTTGGAGCTGAAAAGAATGGATTGAGCAAAACTTTTGGTTTAATTTTCAAACTTGGCATGGAATTCTAATACTGTTGTCATAAGTAATCTGTATTGAAAATACTTCTGGTAGTTCTGATGTTTTAATAGTGGATATAATACATGAAATTTAGGGAGTTTTTACAGTGTCAACTACGGGTGTTGGGTTTTTTCCCCTTCCTCTTCTGAAGAGTATGTGACAGCAAAGTACTTAAATACCAGTTGGTTTTCAACTTGTTTGGTGAATTGCAGTGTAACTCATGGTCTTAGTAATTTACTTGATGATATTCTACCTTTTGCTTAGTAAGTAAATTTTCTCGTATGTAAGCATGTCAGACTAACTAAACAAAGATCCAATACTTTGCATGAGTGGGTCTTGACCTCACTTTGTCTAGTTCATGCTGATATATTTAAATACCTACTCATCAAGTAAAAGTAGCTTTTCTTACTCACTGGGACAGCTGTATTTTCAAAACGTTTCTTGGGCTTACCGCTCCACCTCCATGCTGCTAAATAAATACAGGATCTTGCTTAAAAGAAATAAATGTTGGGCTTTTATATAGATTCAGATAGTGGACAGGAAGGATGCCTCTGGATGCGCTGAGCAAGGGCATGGGCTGAGAAGTGTGTGGTAGACACAGGACTACTAGCTATGATATTTTCAAAGCTTCCATTGTTTAACTGTTTCTGCTTATGTGGACATTCTACAGGTAGTGGCAAGGATATAAGGCTGTCCTCAGCATATCAAACTGTCAGGCTCTTCTTTTGTAGAATAGGAGCATGATCTTGTCCAGTTTATGCACTGCCTTTGGAATGCTTTTAGACAAATGGAAGGAAAAGTTTCTGGAATCCTCGCCTCCTTTAGAAAGAATTGTCTTAGAAATTGATATTCAGTGAGATACTAATGTGAGACAAGTATAATTAAGCTGAGAACTTTGTACAAAAAAAGCTGCTTTTTGGCTGAATGTAACTTAAAATGGAATACAGAATTTAAGAGTACTTTGTACTGAAGAGAAATTTTCATTGTTTAGGTTCCAGCTATTCTGTACAAGACAAAAAGTGTGGGTAAAAACACCATATAAGCTTTTGAGGATACCTTCTGGATTGGGAGAGATACTTTTATTTGAAAGCAGTCTTTAAATTGCTTTCTAAAACTTAATTTGTAAGCAGTCTTTAATGCCTTCATGGCAAAATATATTCTTAGCACTTTAACATATGTTAGAATTGTGCAGATGGAATGTGTGTGTGGGGTGGTTCTGTGGTACACCATCTATTTCAGTAGTAAACCTATGGTTTACTGATGAAAAATCTTTTTTATAATTGCCTAGGAACATGGTCAGATTTGTAGAGCAGGCCAGGCATTACTATATCTTCCATATGTTGATTTCACTTTTGAAAGTCTCCAGAACTGTACTCCACCTACAGTGCTAATTTGATTTCTTTCTGTGCTCAGACTAGTGTATCCTCTGCAAGATGTGAACTTCAGTCCCTTTGAAATTAATTAGTGTTTGCACTTTGAAATGTAAAGGTTAATACAAATGCTAAATGTTGGTGATCTGTATTATACCCTGTGATGGGAAGGATGTAATAAGCACTTGCCAACTGGTTTACGCCTCTTTTCAGTTTACTGCAGAAATCCTGTGGTCTTGTCATCCATTTGCTTGCTATTTGTGGTACATACTGTACAATATTAAACATCTAAATTTTCCCAATCAATCTATGATTGTATTTAATGAAGTTGTTGTTTCTATTTTCTTCAAGAATGTCAAGCTGTCAGCTGAAGTAGAACCATTTATTCCTCAGAAGAAGGGTCCAGAAACACTAATGATCCCAATGGCGCTCCCTAATGACAGTGGAGGAATTAACAGCATGGAACCAACTCCTATCCCTAGCTACCTGATCACTTGCTATCCATTTGTACAGGAAAACCAACCCAATAGGTAATAAATAGTTCTGTTCTTCATGCAAGATGATGTGGTTTTAAATGAGTTTAAACTTTTAGTAGACTTGAGAGGAGTGAGTGAGCATATTCATTCTGTTCACTGTATTTAATTTTGTGACTGTTCATGGATGAGGGTGAAGTTTCTCTGTCTCTGATCTTTTTTACTTACTTCCATAACTCTACTTTTCTCTATTCATACTCTTTGCAGTTTTTCTTACCCTGGCTACAGAGGTCTGGTACAAATCCCTCACGAAGTCATCTGCTGTGCTCTTCCATCCTTTAGGGCAGTCAGTAGGTCTGTGCCTGAATCTCTGATGCTGAAGCAAGGCTCCATGTGTCTAACTTGGATCCTGCCATGGCAAAACAGTATGCAGCTGACAGTTGTGTTGTGTAGCTGTGTCCAGGGTTGTTTTTTAGCATAAGCAGTTACAATACATTTTGTTTGGGAACTCCTTTATTCTAACCCACATGCTCTCTATCCTTACCCAAATGGGTATTCACTAAATGCACAACTTCAATATAAATAATCAACTCTGAAGGCATAAATTATTATTGCTGTTTGGTTTTGAAAAATGTACTCAGTGTTTGCTTAAGACAGCACTTCAATGCTGCTGTACTTGAATATGTAAGAACAAAAATAATCCTTTAGCAACTGCCTACTGCTGATCTATAAAATTATCCTTACCTTTTCTTACTCTTTCTTTAATATTCTGGCCTCTCCATTTCTCATGTAGATTTCCTGGTCTTGGGAATTTGAAGAGGGAGAGAGAGACTTGGGTGTATAGTTTCCAAGGGATTCTTCTAGTAGTATGCTGTATCACAAATAAACACAGGAAGAAGTCTATGTACTTGGTTTCAGTAGGAAGGTCGTAAATACCTTTTTTCGTGTGTGCTGCTTAAGGCTTGCATTTTCATAGGAATTCTGAACAAGGGTGACTTGGCAACTTAACATACTCAAGTACTTGACCCTGTGTTGGCTAATGAATGACACCCTTCCATGTGTCTGCTAGCTTACCTTGTGTAAACTTCTGGGTATCTACTTCGGTTGTATTATTGAAATTGTAAAGGGACCAAAGTACTTGTGAAAAGAAATGCCTACATTTTATTTAATATTGGAAATTTAATAAACTTCTACAAATGCAAGATCGACAAAGATACTTGTTTTGCACTTGAATGTAATGTGGGCTCATGAATCAATTAATCAGCATCTTGAAGTCCTAACAAATTTAAGTTTGGTTATTGAAAGCTAAGAGCTCATGAAACAAATGAGCTGAGGTTGGTTGTTTTCTGTAAGGAGGTGGTAGAGATCGAGAGAGAAAAATCTTACTGAGCAGTTGCCTTTCCTTTTGATTTTTACAGACAGTTTCCATTATACAACAATGACATCAGATGGCAGCAACCCAGCCCAAATCCTGCAGGACCATACCTTGCTTATCCTATAATATCTGCGCAACCTCCTGTTTCTACAGAATATACATATTATCAGCTGATGCCAGCACCATGTGCTCAGGTCATGGGTTTCTATCATCCTTTCCCTGCCCCCTATTCTGCACCCTTTCAAACAGCAAATGCTGTAAATACAGTTACTACAGAATGCACTGAGCGTCCCAACCCATCGGGCCAGGTCTTTCCGTTATCCAGTCAGCGAAGCAGAAGCAGTAACCGGGGACCAGTCATACAAAAAGTAAGTCTGTTTTTTAACAGGGTAAGTAAAACTGCATAGAGAAAATACCTTTGCCCAGGAAGCATGCATCTTATTTCAGTAAGAAATGAAATAAGTAAGAACAGGTATGGCAGTAGTATCAGTGGAAGGAAAGGTGGGCAGGAAAGGTATTAATCAGGCAATAGCAAAATTCTGCCTACAGAGATATTTAGTGGTAAAGTACTTGGTGAACTTATAAAGCCTGCAAGTATAATATGGGGAACTCCCACTGTCTCTCTGCTAGTTTGGTATTAACTGAGAATTACTTCATTAGAGAACAAAGGCAGTGTACCCATACCTTCTTTACCTTTTTTTTTTTTTTTTTTTAAATATATTTCCACTTTATAAAAACCAGTTCATTCAGAAAATATTGCAAAGAAGACTGATATTTTTATTAATACTTCCCTTAACCTTTTTTGGTTTTAAACATGTGGCTTCTGTAGAGAGCATTAGAACTTTCAGTTGCCTTATTTACAACTGTGAAGTCAAATAATATGACTTGTGTGTATGTGGCTAATCTTTTAAAACAGCAACAGCAGTTACAGATGCACATAAAAAATAAACGGCCTCCAGTGAAAAATGTTGCCACTCAAAAGGAGACCAGTTCTTCAGGTCCTGAGAACAGATCAAAGATCGTTTTGTTGGTTGATGCATCACAGCAAACAGGTAATGCTTTTTTGTGTTCTGGGTGTATGAAATTGCTAGTACTACATGTCAGTCACCATCCTTCCTAAAAGAAGGTGGCTCTGGTTTAGATGTGGCTTTTAAGAGAAAACTTTGTGGATCAAAAATATAATGAAAATGTGCTGATAGTTGTAGAGACCTACCCAGTCTGTTGCATTGTAGTGTTACAATGATAAGGTACTCCCGCGGAGATTGCTTTTCCCCTGTCAAAAGCAGACTCTTTGTGAAGGAGTTGATTGTTATTAATAGTTATATCTAGACATAATATGTTCAAATACAACACTGGTTTTGATTTTATTAGGAGATTGTTGTCATGTGCAGAGACTTTGGCTTTCCCTATTTTTTATGGTGTGTAGGTTTTTCATGTCCTTTAACAATTCCTGCACAAGTAATTTATTTATTTTTTTTTCTTGCAGACTTCCCTTCGGATATAGCCAATAAGTCACTTTCTGAGAGCGCCTCTACAATGCTTTGGAAATCAAAAGGCAGGCGCAGAAGAACCTCTCACCCTGCTGCAGAGTCCTCTAGTGAACAGGGTGCAAGTGAAGCAGACATTGACAGTGACAGTGGCTATTGTAGCCCTAAGCATGGCAATAACCAGGCTGCAGCCATGACTTCAAGAAATACAGATTCTTGTGCAATGAATGTACGTAAACATAACTGAATGACTTAACTACGTTTTTTTCCTACAAACTAATAAAATTACTAAAAACTCTTCTTTCCTTTTCAGGTTGTAGAACCATCAATAAGTACAAGTAAGTGTTGTCTTAGCTCATGAGCTGTTTACGATTTAGCTGGGTCACTTGTATTTATTTTGCTTTACAGTTTGCTAGGAATCATCTTTTGATCTGCTTCCAGCATGCTACTCTGATTGATGCGATACTTCTGAAGATATGTCTTTACTGTGATTTCCACCACCTCCAACAAGGCCCCAGTTATTTGTTGAATGAATGACTGTATAAGTAGCTATCACTAATGATTTGTCATCAGCTGCTTTTAAAGAATCAAAGAAAGACAGAGACTCCAATGGAAGCATTCAGATGAAGATGTGCTTCTGTTGTGTTTTATCCTCAAGCTTCCTTACTGTGTGAGACTGAAGTTCGTATCTGGGTAGAAATAGGGTTGAAGACTTTTCAATTCTCTATTTGAGAAGTACTCATACTTTTATAGAAGCTTTAAATAAGTATGGTAACATGAACAAACATTTTTAGTCTGGGCTGCTAGTAGCAACTGGACCCAAATCAGTATGAATGTGAACCTGATGTTTCCTTTGTCTGACTGCTTCCTGATGATCAGTTGTTGGCAGTAAGACTTTCATAATGCTTCTAATGTCTAGATAGAGCTGCAGAAGTAAGTCTTGTCAGAGGAGAATTAGACTTTCTCAGTGAACTTTATTTGTGTTGAAATTGTGTTCCTGGCTCTGATGGCATGTGTATTGTTATGGTGGGTACTATCATACTAATTAATTTTTTCAATGATGGCACTTCTCTTTTTCAGCTGGTATAAGTTGGACTAATGTAAATTCCCAGGCAACTCAAAAAAAACCTTGGATTGAAAAAACTCAGACATTTTCTAGAGGTGGAAGACAAGCTGAGCAAAGAAATAGTGCACAGGTATGTTGCTAATGGTTCTAAAATCCTAGTATTCAGTTTCTTGTAATATGTGAAAATAAGGAATTTTAAATGCATTATAAAATTAAGATACAAAGAATAGTTAATGAAAATGATGAATGAAAATTGTAGAAATTCAACCTGAAAGTTCAGTTGCACATTTCTACCTTGCATGTTTCTTCAGATGGCACTATATCATTTATATATATATATATGTATGTGTATATATAT